AGGAGCACACTCTGCAGTGAGTGGGACTATGACTCAGTTCCTCTGCCTGGGTGGGGGTGGGGAGGGTGGCAGACCAGGCTCCAGGGCTTGCAAGGCTCTTCATTCGAGGACCTCAAATCAGGCCGAACTGCACACTGCTGAGTTCCCTGGTCAGGCTGCATTACCGTTTTGGCTCCGCAGATGAGAAAAGCTACTGGTTGGGACTAGTACTTGAGTGCTCCAGGTAGAAACTTAGTCTGCAATGATCCGAGTGCTGGTTGTTGCAAGTACCCCCCTTCTCTGTCACAATCAGGTTTCCAATGGTCAAGCTAAGGGGAGACCTCTTTGGTGTGGTGCTGCACTGGCTTGGGGGGGAGGCGGGCGCAATGTGGTCAGCATGAAGCTGCTCCTCTTACCCTTCTAATATAGTCTATCTCTGTCTCTGTGGTGCAGTGGGTGCTTCAGCCTCACCCCCGTGTTCTAGGATTTTATCAATTTTATCTAGGATTTTAACTACTCATCTTGTCCATGAGTAGTTGTTAGTTGTTCTTGTGAGGGGGAGCTAACTCGGGACTAACCTACATTGCCATCTTGGTGCTGTCACTCTCTGTCATTTTGTTCTTGCATTATTTTCCTGATATCATTAAATTGTTCATTTGTATTCTCTTGTAGCTCTCTGAGCGTCTTTAGAACAATTATTTTAAACTCTTCGTGGGGTAATTTCTGAATCTTCCTTTCTTTGGGGCCAGTTACTGGAGGTTTACTGTATTTCTTTGGTGGGGTTATGTTTCCCTGAATCTTCATGATTCCTGTAGCCTTACATAGGTATCTCTGCGTTTGAAGCAGCAGCCACCTCTTCCAGACTATGGACTGACTTTGGTACGGGAGGGCTTTCACCTGCAGGTGGGGGCACGCTAGGGCATGCTGTGACCCCAGTCTAGTGGTACAGGGTGCAAAGGGCAGGAGTGTGTGGTGGCACCGGGTCTGGTGGAGTGTTATGTCTCTTAGGCTCAGGCCACTGTATTGACAACTATGTGTACCTTGGCAAGCACTGCAGGGGGTCCACAGTGGCTGCAAGGGCCACTGCAAAGGTCCTCAGTGGCACCTCCAGGTCCGGTGGCTAGGGACCAGGGCAGGCATTAGTGGTGGCCAGAGCCAATGGTGTGCGTACATTTGGCTATGGGTCCCTTTTCATTTGTACAAAATATTTACATATGCAGATATAAACTCACTGCATGTCACAGATGTTAAAAATATTTTCCCCATTTTATTATTGTATTTAATCCCTTTTATAGTGTTTTAAAAATGAAAATGAAATTTAAAATATTTATGCATCAGATCTATCACTTTTTTTATCCCTTGGCTAATTTATATAAAAGTTTATTTTCCCTAATGTTAAAATACCCAAGTATAGTCAATGTGGAAAATCTTCTATTACAGAGTAAATTAAAGATCAGTTAAATTGGTAGTTGTAGACATAGATTTAATCCTATTTTAATTTTAAAGTTAATTTTACCCTAAAACATAGCCATTATTTTTTCCTTTTCTTGAGTAAAGTGTATTTCCCTAATTGATTTTACTTACGGAATTACTGTCTTATATTTACCTGTACAGAAATAGTTTATTACCTTCTGCTATCTATGTTCTTCTCCTCGAAGAGAAGTTAAAACCTTTCTCATCTCCTTAACCTTTGATCATATTTACTTACTTAGAATGCAAAGGGGAAAACAATAGTTGGTACAATAAATAAAAATGAATTATCAAAGTCTTTTACAAGGTCCAAGAGGTCTGTTATCAGAGGGAGCGATTCCCTGAACTACGTCATGCAAACTGTTGGAGCACACGAGTGACCGTCACATCGGGCTTTTCCTGTCTTTGCTCTTTGGCTGTTTAAATATGTACCTGGGTGTCCGTGAAGAGGAAAACCATATTCCTGTCGTCTACACCAGCCAGTTTGTACAACTTCCTCAGGTCGTCATGAAAACTGTCATAATTATACCCCCGGCTCAGTTCAATCTGCAAACACTTGTAGCCACAGATGTGAGCCGCAAGTCTCGTGAGAGACTGCTTTCCTGTGCCTCCGACTCCAACCAGCAGGGCGTTGCCTCTTTCCTGACGAATCATGCGGGCAATTCTGCAGGAGGCAAAGCAGAGAAGGATTTATTTCTTGTATGCAGACGTGGGTGGCTTCTGCTCAGAGGGCCTGCCCCGGAGTGGAAGGCTGGTGGCCAGTGGGGTGTCGTTTCTGAGCAAAGGCCACAGGGAAGAGCAGGGTGTGTCTGAGGTTCACACTGGGAGAACAGTACTGCTGGGCTTTTCCTTGTTTTCATCTCGCCCCCATCTCCTATAGGCTGTGGGCCTCGCTCATGCAAATTTAGAGTAAAGTAAAGTTTCTGCTTCCTTCTTCAAAGTGTGAAGGATTTTGTCAGGAACGCTGGCTGATCTAGGCCATCGCTTAGATTAACCCTTATATTGGGAAGCCCAGGTCTCCATTTATAAGGGTGAGCAAGCAGAAAAATCGCCTAGGAAAAGACCATGCAGTTCAGAAGGAGAGAGGAACGGGAATAGTCTGAAATGGATTTACTATAAGATAGCGACAGAAGTTTAAACATTCATGTTCTGATTCATATTAACAAGAATTTTTTAAAAAGCATTATAATCATGACACTAGAGCGGGCACTCAGAAAGGGGAAAAAATCTGAGTTTAGGAAAAATTGATTGGAGATGGAAAATCTGACTACCAAAGTGAAAACCTCAGTGGAAGATGGGCCTTGCAAATAGGATACTGTGGAAAACTGAACGGGTGAATAGAAGACAAAGTCAACGAACTTACTGAGAACTCAGAGAAGAAAGACAATGCTATTAAAACGATGAGAGAGAAAACAGAAGGTAAGGAGGACAAATCTAAGAGAAACAAAGGCATCCCAGAGGCCACATCATAGGAACTTAGATGGAGAGACAAGAGAGGGTAGAACTGATACAACAATGACTGAAATTAGAGAAGAAACCCCCATAGCGGAGCCCACGCATCTCCAGTCACCGAGGATCAGGAAAGAAGACCAATGAGGAGGGGCAAAACGCGGAATATTTTCTAGAAGGTATATAAATATAAAATAAAATATATGCGTGTATATGTATGTGTATGTATATATGCATATATGTATCATATATAAAATAGAAAGCAATATTTTAGACGTAACTGAAAAGTCTGTGAGCATCTAAAATGCAGATCTAATCGATTACTCCCAAAGGGACAAACGATTTTAGTCTGGCCTCAGACATCTGTTTTACCAGATGATATTCCATCAGACAATGGTTAGAGAGGGAAAACTGTCAGGTTATTGCCCAGAGAGTAAACCACTCGCAAAGCCTTCCTGAAAGAGTCCGTGAAGATATAAAGAGAAGCACAAATAAAACTTAAAATCTCAAGAAGGGAGAAGGATGTTAGTATAAAAGTGAGCAGTATGTATGAGAGTCAAGTCCACGTACAGTTAAGATGATAAAAAGGAAATGATAATGTCAGTAAATTCTTCTTAAAAAGAAGATACAAGTGTAAAAATAATTTCTTTTTTAAAATTATTATCACCATTTCCTAAAATATCAGACTGGGTCATCAGAAAGTAGGAAATCATGGGAGAAATGTAACAGCAGGTTTATTTTCTCTCTTTCTCTTTTTTATAGGAATTTATCTATCAATCTGTCACCTATCTATTTGACTATCTAGTTTTATTCACGATGCTGATAACTAGAGAAAACAGAATTCAAATATTTTAAAATGATAATGGCTTTATTATTTTTTTAATTATGAAAGTAAAACATGGCCATTGTAACCAATGAGAGAAAACCATTGCTAACCCTTTACCACCTGTAAGCAGCCTCATGAGGGCCTGGATGCTGTCCTGTTCTCTATGAGAGCAGCGCATAGTTCATAGTGGGGGCTTCATAAATATTTGTTAAATGAATGTATGTGTGTTGACTTGTATGTGTCTATTTACCAAAATTGGATTAAACTCTACACCACATTTTCTTTTGTGATTGTTTTGCTAAATGATGTATTAGGGACATTCTCATGCTAGTAAATAAAGCAACAGATATACCATAATTTATTTAGCTAGTTCCCTAGTGATAGACATTTGGTTCTTTTTATGTTTTTATTATCATATTAACAAAATATTAGAAAACAAACAAACCTTAAAGCTAGCTGCAAATAAATCCTTTCAGATTGTAAGAGAGAGGGGGGTCCATGAAACAAAAAAAGACATTACATTAAAAACAAACAGAAAATAATTTAGGATTGCATAAATGTGGCTGTTAAAGCCATGTTCTAAAATAATATTTAATTATATATAGGATTGTGGAGGCAAATGTAATGTAAGTGTTAAGGGCATAATGTTTAACTATATATGCCATAATAAATTTTGTAAAAAAATATATATGCTTATAAATATATTTGAAAGCACCATACAATTTTAACAATGGTTGTTTCTGGATGAAGAGGTGGAATTATGAATAATGTTTTTCTAAATTTTCTATAATGAGCATGTTTAGTATATAATCAGAAAAATAATCACTATTTAAAAAAATTATTTGATTGAGGTGACATTGGTTTATAACAATGTGTAAATTTCAGGTGTACATTATTATATTTCAGCTTCTCTATAGACTGCAGCATGTCAATACACCACCAAAAGTCTAGTTTCCATCCATCACCATACAAATGAATCACGATTTTTTTTTAAAGAAAACAAAGTAGGTGTGTTTCTGCCTTGTAGAAAATATAAAGCTGCCTTCTACACAATATTTCTATCATTAAAAACATCTTGGTGATATGAATTTTTATAAATAAAATTATATTTATATAAAAAAGGAGAGAAACATGTCAGCTCTTACTCTATCTCTGAAATTCGGTATACTTTTATCAACTCATCTATATTGAAGTAATCAACTTCTAGAGACCTTAAAAGTTGTGAATTAGAGAACCCCGATTGCAGAGTTTTTATGTCTCTCATCTTTGGTGGCAGGGGCAGGAGCTGTGTGTTGGGAGCACAGAACAGGGAATGTGCGAGGACTTGTTTGAAGTGTTCCTTCAGGACGAAGCATAGACTGCTAGTCACTATCAGGATCTTCTGAAGTAAGTATCAGACCTGCACGTCCGTCTCCTCCATCTTCGCACTCTCTCCTGCCCCTCAGGCGAGTCTGCTCTCTCTCTGCCCTGACTGCCTTGATGACACGCTCTGCTTTGTCTAGAACTGAAGTCAGCAAACTGCCTGCTTTTTTTGCTTGTTTTTAACTTTTTATGGCCTATGAGCTAAGAATGGTTTTTAGGTTTTTTAGATGGATGACAAAAAAATCAAAAGAAGAGTAAGATTGGGCCGGTCCAGTGGTGTACTTGTTAGCTTCACGCAATCGGCTTCAGCAGCCCCGGGGTTTGTAGGTTCGGATCCTGGGTGCAGACCTAGTGCTGGTCATCAAGCCACACTGTGGCGGTATCTCCCATAAAACAGAGGAAAATTGGCACAGATGTTAGCTCAGGGCCAATCTTCCTCACACACACAAAAAAGGTAGAGTAAGATTTTATGATATGTGAAAATCATATGACGTTCTAACATGAGTGTCCATAAATAAATTTGCATTGGAATATAGCCATGCTCATCCATTCTCTATTGCAAGTGGCTGCTTTTGTGTTACAACGACAGAGTTGAGTAGTTGTGACAGGGACTGTACAACTCACAGAGCCTAAAATATTTAACTGTCTAGCCCTTTACAAAGGAAATTTGTCTGCTCCTTCCCTAGGATCCCTTGCCAACTCCTCCCCTAGAGAAACTAAGACCCATGGCGCCGTTTCCATTGCTGGCTTTCTATCACATTGCACATCAATAGAAGACACAGAAGATCATCTGTTTGCTTATTTCTCTTCAGCTACCTGTGTGAGTATAAAATTGAAGGCTGAATGGATATGTAATAATATTGTTATTTTTTCCCGTAATGCTCAAGTGTTCTACAGTGGGTGAAATATTGAACATTTTAAAAATCTTGCATTTTATATGTTACTCATTCCTTGTTTCATGCACATTATAGTAATTTGATTATTTCCAACTCAGATTATTGGAAACAAATGACTTGTCCATTCTACTTCCCAGTGTTACTTTTTCTGTCAACTTATATAACAATGGACAGAAAACTCCCTCCATTAAGAATTCTGCAAAATTACTTTTTTTTCTAGTATAGTTGGCAAGAGATGGCTTTCCTAATTAGTAGCTGACATTATAAGAGATCTGGTCTATTACCCTTGCAGTGTGGTGACAACTTTGGGGGCATGTAGTGGGTAGAAACTGCCTGGCGTAAATTGCCCTTTGAAAGCATAGGCTCTGAAGTAAATTTTTTTTTTCTGAGTCAAGAAGGCTTTTATCCACTTATCCTATGCAAAAAAACCCCACCAAAACTAAAATGTCACCAACAAATGGAAATGTAGTATCTGCTAAATTACTGAATATTTAGTAATTGTCCCATAACTCTTGTTCGTAATGAAGCCCTTTCTGTTGCAGGTCAGAAGTAGGTGTCTGAGAGCTCTTACTTAAACAAGTAGAAATTTGTTTCCACTGATTCCTAACTACTGATCCTCTCTAGAAAAAAAGAGAGCACAGCTACATCGTTATTCACATGGCAGTCCTTTGTGTATCTGAAAACCAAATCTCTTCCATTCTACAAATGGTTTTTAATTTCCCCCTGTAATATATTAAGCAAACCTTGAGTAGCCCGGTGATTCTCTTTCACAAAAGTAAGAAAGATTATACATACAATGAAGCCGACTTTGCCTATCATCTGGTCTATTCTCCAGGAAGTTTCTCAGACCAGAGTATGGCTATTATTTTTTTCTTTGCAGGCTTAGGGCCTGCTTAAGCTATGGGAATAAAAGTTGTCAGGAGACAGCATGTGGGGATGTTGGCAGGGGGCTGATGGGAAACAAGTGGTATCTTGACAACCCAATGACAAACTACTGTATGTTGTAGTACTTGAGCTGTGACAAACATAAAATCTTGAATTAGAGTTAATTAAACAGGAGAAGCATAGAAAAGGTGAAAGACTTGATTTGCATATGGTTTATAGCTAAAAATCCTAGGGATTTAATTGTCAATCTTGAGGTCCAAAACTAAAAGGTAGTTGACAAGGGAAAAAACAAAGCCATTAAAATCTTGCTTTGGTGGTAGACCATGAGAAATCCTGTCCTCACACACAATTTACACTGCTTATTCCACAGAATACTATATCAAATCTGGGTATCACATTTTAAGTGGAACATTGAAAAATTATAAAGTGCTCAGTATGTTGAAGGCTGGAAATAATCTCTAACAGGCAAGAGTGAAAGATCTGGGATACTTATGCCTAGAGAAGATAAAGCTAAGAGGAGCCTGGTAATGACTGTCAAGAATTTGGAGGGCTGTTATGAAGAAGAGTGGATCCATTTTGGGTGGAGGCACCTGCAGCAGAGTTAGAGTCAAAGCATTGGATACAGTCCCCAGCCTGCCACACATTAGCTAGAGGACTTTGGACAATTCACCTATCTCCCTGTGGCACACTGCATTGTCTGAAAATGGCTGCAATAATACTTCTGGTCCTACTTGTTCTTTGACTCTATCAAGAGAAAGCGTCTCTGACCCCTTCTTGTGAACCTAGGTGGGCCTGTATGACTCCTTTGACTAATAGAGTATGGTAGAAGTGATGCTATGTGACTTCCAAGGCTGAGTTGTGAAAGACCATTTGGCTTCTGCCTGGCTCTCCCTCTTGAGGCATGGGCCTTTGGAGCCCTGAGCCACCAAGTAAGAAGCCACCACGTCAGAAACTCTGATGCTGCCATGCTAGAGAGACACATGCAGTCTCCATGGAGGCAGAGATGCGCCAGGCACTCCAGGTGCTGTCTGACTCCCACTTCATGAGAGACTCCAAGAAAGAACCACCGAGGACCATGAAAGATAATAAAAAAAGGAAGCTACTGAGTCTTACCATGGCTAATTATGTAGCAACAGACCACTGGAATATTCTCTAGGCCTTATTTTTAGAGAGATTATGATATTGAGCCATATAGAGGTGTTATGACAGTTAAATGAGATACTCCATATATCATGGTTTTATATTTACACTGAGTGCCACTATTATGACTGCTCCACAGGATGAAGCTGGTACCAGGAGTCACAGGGAGGAGATTTTGACCTACCCTTGAAGGGTCATTTTGACACTTGGGATAGTCCAAGAGGACACAAGCCACTTCAAAAAGTGATGTGTGCCCCAAGGATCCAGATATGGAGGATGGATACCTAGGTGTCAGGAATGTCCCTCAAAGGATACTTGCAATGAGTAAGAGTCAGATACATGAAATCTATGACCCTTGGATTCAACTTGTTTTGCTATAATCTTGAACCCCCCTTTCTCTGGGCAGGCATGCAGTCAGCCTTGTTATACTGTACGTGTATCTCTGAAAACCACCTTAGATCCTTTCTTCTAATAGGACAGAACATTTAAAAGAAACAAAAACAATCTATTAATATTCAGACAAATTAATAACTCCTAGGATTCCATAGAAAGTTCATGCCATATATATCTAAAATATAGCAAAAAATAACCTTTAAATTATAGCAAGATTTGCTAATTGACTTGCAATTAATCCATCTTGTTAACCCAAGGATGGTTACTAATCCATCTTGCAATCTACTTAAAGAGTTTTGTACAACTTAATCCTTACCTTTTTAATACAAAAGAAATTCGATCAATGCAATATTGGGCACTTGATAGCATTATACCTTGAAACATGTTCGATAGCATCCTGGAAGAACACCAGCTTTACTTCTTTGGGATTTATGAGGTTATAATCATCAAGATAGTCCTGTAGAACATTTGCAATTTTCTCCATATCGGGCATGTCATCATAAATCCGATCAGTCTTATCTGCTCCAAACTGTATGATGATTTATGGAAGAGAGACCAAATTGGATTAGTTCTGATATATAGATACACATAACATACAGAACCTTAGGAGGCAACGTTATTTGATCTATGGTGCTGTTTAATTATTTACTTATACATATGCTAACAAGGCTTTCAAACCAAGGAAATGGGACTAAGAAACTCAAATTTTCACAGATAACTGAAAATCCGTTTCATTACCTTCTTCAGGTGGTACATTGGAATTTCAATAATCTTTGCAATAAAATTCACACAGGAGCTCAGGAATAGATTTTCAGTTTTTCTCACTATAGGTTTCACACTTTTGCTCTAAGCCTGTTGATATCAGAAAAGCTAAATGGGTTGAAACCTATGCATGGCAGAATGTTATGGTCATAAAAAATTATGCCAGAGCTATATGTAGTTGTTACACAGCAGCCACCTAATTAAAGAAACCATTGAGAATAAAATTTCATGCACATTATAGGAAATTGAGTTCCTATTCGAGGTCTTGTTTGGACCTATGGATGGTGTATTTTTCTTTGCTGTAACAACTGCCCCAGGGGCATTTTCATTTGGAAGTATTGACTAAAATACATATAAGAAATGCGAGAAGAGTCCAGCTGCTCTTTTTCCTTTGCTTTATTCCCCCATTTGATAATAATATCACTTGAAACAGACAGGAAACATAATCACCATCTGAAAACAAACTTTGGACTTTGATTTTAATAATACATTTAAATAGACACATTTCATACAAATAAATGGTTTATCTTTTTTATTTTTCAGGGGTTACCAGGGTGGTGAGGTAGTGCGTACTCGTAAAGATAAGTTCATTCATTTGTTTACCTAGCATTGATTGAGAGCCTGCTATATAGCTAGCTCGGTGTGGGGAGTTGGGGATTTAGGGTGAGCAACAGCCAGGGCCCCTGCTCTCTTGGAGACACTAGGAGTGTTGTACCCACGCAAGAGTCAACTTGATAAAACAAGACGGCTATCTGTCAACATGCGTAGGGTGGGTAGATGGAAGACTTATTCTAGGCAGATCTAGAGGGTAAAATTAGAGCTGGTGTGTAGATGTTATTAGGGGGGCAGACTTGAAGAGCTTAATATAAGGAAAATTTTGCTACTAAATAGAGCCCACCTGAAATGAAGAGGGCAGCACTGCTAACTAATTAGCTTCCCACTACTGGAAGCTTTTGAGCAGACGCTGACCAGCTCCACAGAATACAGTGAGGGGATTCCAGGCCTGAGGTAAGAGACTAAATCTCTCTCCTTCCTTCCAAATCGAATACCTGATGGGTCTCTCATTCAAACTGTTATCAAAATGGATGTAACTAGATCAGGAGTCAGCAATCTTGTTCTCTAAAGGGCCAGATAGTACATATTTCAGGCTTTGCAGGTCATACGGTCTCTGTTGCTGCCACTCCACTCTGCCTTGTAATGTGAGAGCAACCATGTAAATAGCACTCAGTCAAATGGGCGTGGCCGTGTTCCTATAGAACTTTATTTACAAAAACGGGTGGTGGGTGGATTCGGCTTATGGGCCATAGTTTGTGGACCTCTGGTTTAGATCTTTAATCACAGGTGCAAAGTTTTTCTAGAATATGAACCTGAACGGGAAAACAGTAAATGCTTTATAATCTTCAAATAGAGTCAAGTTGATATAACATACTTGCCTTAATAAAATCTCCAAATATGATGGGCCTGGTCAAAAAATATTCTAGGCCAATTGCAATCCCAAAATGTTTATCTATTCAAAAACAAAGTCAATTTTTAATATAATGATAAGCTTGAATGCAATATTTTATATACAGAATAATATCAGCTGTTACTTTGCTTTGAAGCCTTAATTAGTATAAATGAAACTGAGAGAAAGCCATGTTAACCATATCACTTTAGTTGATAATCTCCTGGATTTAAAATTAATAATAATATTCATAAATATTTTATTAAATAATAGATATTGAAAATGTATTTGATAAATAAAAGTAGTTTAGAAATATCCTGGCTTGTTATCAGACAAAATGCTGTTTCTCCTGCTTTCCCTCCTCTACTTAAAATTCTATACTGAATTAAAAATATTAACCTTTCCTAAATTTCAATAAAATGATTTTTATAATATTTCATACATTTTTATATGTTTGAATCATTGAAGAGAAAAACTTTTACTCATGAATGACTAAAATTCATTTGGCTTTACCTATATAAGCTCATTTTAATTTTCCTTTATAGAAACCAAATTGCTTTTCTATTAAAAAAAACGACTAAATGAAGATTGATACTTACTGGCCATTTCTGTCAAAATAACATGGAAATAGTGCTTATCTTCATTATTAATCAAACGATCGTGGAAGACCCTTTGACATTCATGACAAAAGAGTCTAAATATCTGTATTTCTTCTCTTATTGTTCCTGGATCGCACTGGAGGATACCTGTTTTTTAAGAAAAGGGAAAAAGGAAAATTCTGTATTTGTGGAATATCCAGTAATAGTTTAATTAACTAGAAAAAGCCTTAAGTCCAACTTTGTCCCCACACTACTAGAAATGGGTGCTTCCCCAGGGGATGTATACGTATAATAATCGTGACCTCATTTTTTGAAAGTAAAACTGGGACATTATCTGACAAAACTTTTTTCTTGCTCTGTGCAGTTTCTTTAACTGAACATAAGAAGTGGTCAGACTTCACAAATAAGCAACGTTCATCTCGTTATTACTCTGGGTTGCGATACGTAAAGTGAGGAGTGTCACCTTTCTTTAATACATATATAGATACGTTCATTTAGCAACTTTTTCCCTCCTGACCTTTACACTGTTTTCAAAACACGTTTCCTCTCTTCTTCTTCCCCAATGTTCAGACCTCACCAAATGCCCCTGGTCCTTCTGGCTTCTACTCAAATTATTCTGAGCACTCTTTGTATTAATATAAATTGTAACTGAAAACACAGTTCTAATAATTTCAAGTTACAGCGAAAGCAGTGATGTATAGCAGTCCTGGAAGTGTTCATTCTCCACGGGGACCCTTCGCGTGGGGCTCCTCACACGTGCAGAGGGGTCAGGGAGTATCTACTAGGCACAGATACACACAACAGACAGGGTGCTCCGTACCACACAGTACGTGCCATCCATTGCTGCTTTGGAATAATAGAGAATTTCTATAGATAATGATGTCACATTTTTTTTGGCAGCTCGAATCGTGTGTGTGTGATATACACGTTTCTTGAAATTCTTAAAGTTTTAATTATTTTCAGCTAATATTTGTAGAAATAAGGGCATTTCTAGGACATTTTAATGAAATGTGGGGACAAGGGGAAAGATATTCAAAGTTGGAATTTCCTGGGTACTTTATGATATATCATTGTCAGAGATAACATGGATCTGAATTTTGAGGCTCAGAAATTATCTAAAAAATAGGAATAGAAAGACAATTGGGAAGGATGATAAATAAATGACTAGATTAGACAATGTCTGGGGACCAGGAAGTGAGTCCAAAGCAGTTCACAAAGGAAACAAAGCCACGTTCCAACGTTTTCTAGGAAAAGTGAGTTCATGAATCCCTGGACTAAACTGCTAAGCCAGGAGGGTGAAATTTTAGTGGAGGAGGAATACAAGTTATTGTGTCATCCTATGGCAGGGATGGTGTGCCAGCTTCAAGAGTCCCCGGGCTCTTGAAGGGGGAGGAAGGCTATGGGGCAGGAAAGAGAAAAGGGAGTAGCGGAGCCCTCAGAAGGAGAGTTGGAAAGAGCAGGAACCTGTGGTGATGACTGAGCGTTAGGGAGGGGCAGTCAGGGCGGTCAGGGTCCTTAAAGCCAAGCCTCAGCTCCGGCCATCGGCCATTATCTCCTAGTTCATTCCCAGCCTTGTTAATATGCAGCAGATGTCATCTCTGTTTGGCAATGAATTAGATTTTGATGAGGACAGAAAAGGGAGCCGGATTTCAGAGAGCCCAGTCATCGCTCTACATGGAAGTGCTCGATGGTTTTCACTTACCACTATTTCATGGATATTTAAAATATATTTATATACTTTAGTTTTTTAAATATTTATTGAG